AGCGGAAGGGGCGGGCAGCCCGGGCAGCGGGCAGAGGCGCCGCCCGCCAATCGCCGTCCTACGCCGCGGGGCGGCCCCGCCGAGCCCCCCGGGCGAACCCCGGACGGCGGCATCACCCCCCGCCCCGTGCAAACATTGCCCCGGCCCTCTGCCCGGCCAATGCCGGCGCCACGCCGCGCCCGGCCCCCGGCCCCCCGCCCCCTCACCTCGCGGGCAAACATCCCCCGGCCTGGTGCGCCCCGCGGGGTCCCGGGCCACAGTGGAAGCGGGGGGAGGCGGGGCCGGGCGAGGCGGCGGAGCGGGCCGGGGGTGCGGTGTCGCCCCCCCGCATGTAAATGAGGGCGGGAGGCGCACGGCGGGCCACCGGGAGCCCCGGGCGGAGCGGTGTTGTGGGCTGAGCGCGCCGCCGGCAGCAGCGTGCCGGAGCAGCCGGAGCCGGGCCGGGACAGGGACTGGGACTGGGAGCGGGGCCGCCGCGCCGCCACGTGCTGCCCGCGCCATGGAGCTGGAGGAGCTGGGCATCCGGGAGGAGTGCGGCGTGTTCGGCTGCATCGCCTCCGGCGCGTGGCCCACGGAGCTGGACGTGCCCCATGTGCTCACGCTGGGGCTGGTGGGGCTGCAGCACAGGTAAGCGGGGCGCGGGGGGCGCGGTGTGCCCGCATGGGGCCGCCCGGACGCGGGTCGGTGTCGGGCCGGGCCGCGGCGGCTGCTCGGGGCCCCGCGCCGGCACGTGCAGCCGGAGGGCCCCGGGTCTCCGGCGGCGGGAGCGGGCTGGGAGGGGAGGAGAGCGGTGCGGCCGGGGGCCTGCCCGCTCCGGAGCGTCCCGGCCGATCCCTTCCGCTCCGCCCCGGCGGGCAGCCCCGGCAGCATCCCGGAGGCGAAGCGCMAGGAACGCAACACCCATTCGCCTCCCACCCCAGGAGCCGATCCGACCGAAGGAGCAGCTGTCGAACRCCTTTGGACCTCGGCTGCATCTCACTTGAGTCGCATCCGCGCTCGCTGCCGGGGCTGCGCCACCGGGCCAGGCGTTCGCAGTCCCTGCGCGGAGCCCGCGGCGTGGTCGCGCCCCGGGCGGCGGGATGAGCCCCGGGCGGCAGAGGGTGCGCCCCGCGCAGGAGGATGCTCCCGCCGCCCCGTCGCAGCCACGCCGCGCGGTGCCCGCCTGCCGGAGCCCCGGCGAGGCCCGGCCGTTCTCGAGATGCTCCCGTTAAAGTATAAGGCTCATAATCCGAGGCTACCGAAACGCAGCAGGTTCTTTAACATTTTTAGGCTCCTACTAGCGGTAGTGGTTTAGATTCCATCACCATGATAAAATAAAACTTCTACCTTGCATGTCTACGGCAATGTACAACAGACCTGCTTCASTCTCATCCATATAGATACAGAGCTACAGAATAAAGTTTGGGTTCTGTTTTCATTTGGTTGGTATCCAGAATAATGTTACGGACTGACATACACCAGTCATTTTTTCAGTGGTGCCAGAAAGGGGTATCCGCCTTGCGGGAACACATGCGCAGCCAAACACACACAAGCTCTTTAGCAGTACATGCTGAGCCTGTATACCGTGCTTAAGCTCACACTTGCAAAACGTGTGCGAAWTAAACACATTCTTGACAGTCTGGGGTAGGCGGGCTTCTCCAAGGACCCATGTACTAAATAGATAAAAGTATATTCTTTGTATTTCTGAGGTCATAGGCATGTAASTGTTGCTTTGAAATTGATTTGGGACCGACAATAGGAAATCGTTTACATAGAGATTTTCTGTTTCTTACAGAAGAGTTTACTGTACTTTTACTGGTAAAATGCTGCATCCCCACATGACTCTCATATGCTAATAATTCTCTTTGGGCTGCAGGTATATATATTGGCCAGTGTCCACCAAAACATTTTTATTGGGTGTGATACTGATGCACAATCCAAGGAACAAAGCCATATAATCAATAGTCTCATTTTAGGTTGCATCATTTTTCTGTAAAGAGGCTGAAARAAAATCTTATCTCGATTGTGTTTAGTTACACTGGTAGAACTGGAGTTTCTTAGGTGGAAATAAAATGACTAATGTATTCTCATTACTTTGCATCTTATTAACTCAATTTTCATTGCAACYTTATTTCATAACTTTTCAATATGTGGGTTTTTTCCTTTGATGGGCACTGGACAAGTATATTTAATTTGCGTGAGCTTTTTAATATCAGATATCCCCTATGGAGGACACATGTACACAGCAATACTTTATACTATGATTAAAATGAAGCAGTTCACRAGTTCTAGAGGAAGCTACTCACCTGGAGGCATATATGTACTACCTCTGATTCTGATCTAATGGTTCAAATTGTAAGGGATGCTTTCTTAGAGGCATAAACATTGCATCTCTAAGGTGAAATATTCCCATTAGGTATACCTTTGCAAGCTCTCAACTAACTTCATTCATGTTTCTCTCTAACCTCTTTGCATTTTTCCTACTATGATGCGTAGAAGAGCTGGCATCCTGATCAGGAAGTAATAGGATAACAGCTGTTTTTCTTTCTACTTTTTGGAATGTCTTGAAAATCAGAATTAAAATTTAGCATCAACTGTATCAGTAAACTGCATTAGGCATTTAAAACATGGTTTTAAAGTAATAAACTAAAACATGTCTCTTAACCATAGGCCTTTAAAGCAAATATGAAAGAAAATTGTAGTAAATATTAATGGGCCATCCAAGTTATGCCTGAGTGACTAACAGAAATTTGACTGGCCACAAGAAAATACAGTCCTTAAACATCACCCTCAAATTAGTAAGTATATTTATATAATGACTACTTGTCTCTGATATAAGCATGTTCTTCTCTATGCAAATTAGTCCTGTGTAATAAATTACAGAATTCAGCCCTTAATTCACCTTAGATTTTAAAATTCAGAATATTAAAGCAGGACATTGTATCAAGCTGCATTTCTCAGATGACTGAGCCACAAAGAGGACAGTTATAATTTCATGTTATAATTTCTAATCTTTGAAATCTTACCTGTATGTGTAAAAATCCAGAGTATTTGTTAGATGCCACAAAAACATGCTGCATAAATTATTTGTGCTTTATGTCCTGATACAGCTGGTTGCAGCAAGGTGAAGGACTTTGCTGTTTCTGATAAATGGCCAAGAATAAGTTGATAGTTTGTATTACTGTGGTGCTGAAGAGATTTTCTTCAGTGGGGGTGTTTGCAGCTGAAAACTCGCAACTGTAAGCTGGATCAAGCCAGCCTGATATAAGCAGCAATATATAAGCATGTGTTCAGCAGTGTCTTTGGGTGATACTCGCTGCTTCACTCACTGAAACTGTTCTGCATGAAAAATTGATGTGTATATGTAAGCGAGGGTCTAGAGCCCATAGGTAGGCACATCATGAAAGACAAAAGATAAACTTGAAATTTCACTATCATGACATAAGCAGAAACAGCTTTAAAAGTTGTTAGGGGTGGCRCTTTTTTTTAATAATTGAAAAGCAAGTGCTAGTTGTTGAGGTTTAAATTTGCACTCTGTTGTAGCAGAAATTAGAAGGCTGTTTTCTATTGGCTTTAACTTTATAATGGTGAGCTGTGAATTAAAATGAAAACCAGTATATTYGTACTCACAATCTAATCAAGGCTTTCCACACAATAAGAACATTTTATCAATTTAACTTSACACCATGGTTACATTTTACAGCTATGTTAGCCGTGAAAGTTCATTATGTTTGAAACTTTTAATTCTGCTTAAGCAAATCATGTTATTCTGGCATCAACATTAACAAGGCTTAAAAGTGGATGTTCTAATMATCTCTGTATTTTGTAAGCCAGGGAACAAAGTCACTGCAAAATCCACCTACAGTATGCCAAAATAAAATCAGAGGATATTGGTAAGAAGAGGGCTTGCTTGGGGGCGGTGAGGGAGGGAGGAGGAGTCRCTGTGAATTACAAATCTATTAAACGTCATTTGAGTCCTTGACCAGGACAAATTTGCGAAGTTAATCTTCGAACAAGTATGATTTCTGTTAACTTTTTGCAAAATTCTCTGGAAAATACTTTTGGCAGTAGTACTGTGTACAGAAACCTGAGTTACCAGCTTTGTACTCATTTTTAGAAAAGGTCTTAGAAAGCCCTCTTATATTAAGGTGGAAGTCCCATTAAGTCAGGGAATACTCCTTGTCTGAGCTGGGCATGTGTATGGAACTTGCTATGACTGGAGGCTTGGCCAGCTTACTTTTTGATGCCTTTCCTGTTACTGTCCATTATTAAAACCCATATAAACAGAACACAGATAATCATCAATTTAATTAAGAAACTTCTCTTTCAATCTAGTTAAGTCACTGGTTGCTTCCCATTAGCCATCCTTTCAAGTATCTGCATTCAATATAGCATAATCAAAGTATTTATCTACATTTTATATGCAACATCTCAGTTACAAGATAGGAGGTTTTTTAAGACTATTTAGCAAGGCATTGGTATTTATTGTGATGTGCAATGTGAATGTTTCAATCAAAAAGCTTAAAACTGCAATATTGGGATGAGAATTTTCTAAGGAGCACAAATATACTACAGGTAACGATCCTGATAATTTGGTATGTAAGGTATTTATCTTTTTATTTCATCTTAAGAACACATTATGAGTTCAGCATATCTAGGTGCAAGAACTGCCATGTCAAATGTCTTAATTGTCTAATACCAAATTTTGTAATTAATCATATTTCTATGTAAGTTCCCTATGGAACATACAGGGTAAGATGTTCGCCTAGCTAGTTATTGAGTCTGCATGCTGTTTTATGAAAACATTTATGCTGGTAAAACATTACCATGTACTTTCAGACACTGAGTGTAGGTGTAAAAACACTTCTGCTTTTATTTCAGTCTTGGTTCAAGTTTTAGGCCATTCTGTGCTGCAGGTGATGACAGCCCGGTTTAATTACATTCTGCAAAGCTTGCTCCTGTGAAGAGAGGAGGAGCAAGGCCTTTTTGCTTTGGTGAACCCTTATATCTGCTCAGCTGTTTTACAAAACATCCTGCAGGGCTCAAGCTCCTGCACACTCATTTTTGGGAAAGTGAAGAGAAGCCAAGTTGAAATMATTTCAATGTACATGTCACATAATGTAGTTTGGTCTAAGCTCTTATCTCTGGATRTGGAGTAACTAGCTGGAATGAGATCATGTAAGAAGGAGAGGAAAAAACAGGAGGAAAGTGGTGCCAAACCAGATACAAGAGGACATTTCAGAGGCAGCCATTATGTTTATTGTGGCCAACAGACTTCCCATTACATTGACCCAACTAGAGAGCTGGTGTGAGACTGTTCATTCTTCTTCACTTTGGCATCAAAGTAGATAAGGCATCCATGTAGGCATATAGCTCTCCAGTAATTTTCACAGGATTGCTTGGTTGGCTTGTCTGCCCATACCTTAAATTCAAGCCTCATGCATGGAGGGAGGTTGTATGCAGCAACCTATGTTCAGACTGGATAGTTTAGTTCATACAAACTGTCCTGGCTTCACTGTGTGCCATGTCTTACACTACCATTGCCATTTAAATAAAGCAGGRTTGTTTGGAGGGGCTTTTTATTATGTTTGTTTTAATTTAAATCAGTTCTGTCAGTTGGGTAGCCCCTTGGCCTTATGGATGCTTGTTCCATCACAAAGACCTTGCTGCATAAGAAACAAAGGATGACTCTGAAGGCAGAGGTTTTAAAGCCAGTGATGCTGATGGTGCTTGKGGATCCACCATCAGTGCAAGCATTTCTGCTTCCTGAAGAGCATTCTAAATGCCTTTGGCCAGTTTCTCAATAATCTAAAAGGGCATTCAGAGGAATTTCCAGAGTAAGAGCCCTATCAATGATGTGTGAAGTGACCCATTCATCTTAGTGAATGAGYGTGCTTTAGAGAAGAATGAAGGTTTTTAATGTAGGTCAGAGTGGTAATAGTTCCATTTGTCTCTACAAGTCAAAAATTTTAGTATTGCTATTTGCAAACTGGGGAGGAGACAGATTTGCCCTCACACTAATCGTAATGGTCCTCTGGCAATAATGCAGATATTTCAGGAGGGAGAAGACCAAAAATCTGTTATTTATAGGATTGATGCTCTTGCCATCATTACTTGGTTTTGATTATTAAGCTGGAATGTTTTCATGATGTAATTTATATTAAGATTCCCAGGATCAGCTACTTGGTCTGGCCTTTTCTGCTGAGGATCAGAAAGGCTCTCTTCTAAGAAAGGCTCTCCTCCCAAGCCTCTGCMGTCCTGTGGTAGTGCCCTACACACAACCTAACATAACAACATTTAGTATGTGTCAGATGGTGTCCCAAGTTCCATTTAACTGGCCCTTAAGTGTGGACTCTATATTRTGTAACCAATAAATGTACAGCTGTGATCACAGACAGCAGAGACACAGAAAAAGCTTCAGTGGATATAAAAATACAATGAACAACATGGCAGCAGACAGCCTTCTGACAAAACAATTTTAAAAAGCAATTTGTGCATTGCTGTCTCAAAGCTGAATAGAAGTGGAATCCCCCACAAAGGGAAGTCCATCTTCTTTGGTCATTTGTTTGTCAGATAAATCCTGATCTCTGGAAGCTTTCCTGAAGGAAAAAAACCCTTTACTTGGAATCTAAGCACACTTGTGTTCTTTTTTTTTTTTTTGTCAGTTCTTGCTTCATGTCTACCACCTAGTGTTGACATCAACAATTTCCAAGTAAAGACTGCAAATGTGCTCTGCAGTTCTCTGCTGTGAACTGCTTGGAATTCAGCGAGTCCTTTGCCCCAGTGCTTTCATGCTTTTCTCACTTGAACATGAACATTTAAAAACAGATMCGTATTCTTGAAAGGTCTGCTGATTTTAGTGAATTAAAGTCTTTATTTTTTATTTTCTGGAAGGAGAGAAATGGTTTGGGGGGGGCATTGTACTGAATGACAGCAAGGTTTGGATAGATTTGGATCCTTCTGCATCATATCGAATTTAAAGTGAAGTTTGTCRCCTCTGCAGTGCTAACTGCTTCCCTTAGGTTACTATTTCTTCAGGAAGGACAGTCACACTGTAACAAAAACGACCTTTCAGCTGTTCAGTCTGACTTGGAATATGGGAACTTGCCGAGCTACTTCAACTCACATGGAAAGCCATTTAGGACATTTTCTTAATAGATGGACTAGTCTTGTGTGAGGTTTGTGAGATGAACTGGTTTATAGGGTATCCAGCAAGAACTGGATTACTCAGTAGCATGGAGAAAAGGGGAGTCTTGTTGAAATGAGTTATGAGGTTAATTTCAGCCTGGCACTCAGGAAACAGAGAAGGTAGAGCAAAACATCTAAGTTACCCATATTATTTTCAGTACAATTATTTCAAATAATAATTTAAATCTGAATTGAACTAAGCTGTTTAAATGTACTGGACCGAATTAGGGTTGGACCACACGTTTTTCTGGTTYGTGTGTGGAATGAGTAACCTGTGGTTTAGTATTGGGAATGGTGAGGACTTCAGCTGACTCAGCATGTTCTGTAGGGATATTTGACTGCTGTGATGGCAGGGGCAGACCTTGTCCACCTTCCAAAGACAACAGTTATGTATGCAAGTAATACAATGCAAGTTCAAGGATGTASCTTTGAACCACCTCATTGTAAAGACAGAGAAGAAAGATTTTTAAACCAATGATGATACCAGTATTAAAAGCGAGAGAAGGTTTATACTGAGAAATGAGTGTAAAATGTGAAAAGTGGTAGATAAGCATGCATCGAAACAACTGTATATATGTGTCACAGTGTAAATGAATATGATTTCAAAACTATTATTTTTTAGGGATCTCTCTCTTGACTCCTCAGAATTGTTTTAAAAATGCTAGTCAAATGGCAGATTAAATCCACCTCGGTGGAAAGTATTTACCTTCATAATGTCTCTCATGCAAGAATCTACAAGAAAATAACTGCATAGAGCAGGAAATAAAGCATTATATCCAGTAATGTTTTTATGTAAAGTTTTATGAAGGACTTGGATGGAATTTAGACCTACTGTGTATAAATAAACTTGGTGGCTGTTACTGCTGCAGTAAGGATTTGACTGTTTGACTTGAGTTGTGCCCTTGTACATGCCCAGAACTGCCCTAACTTTGGCCGGGCTGTGTAGGTCTATGCCCACACATGACTGAGATTCAAAAAGTTGTTTTGCTTGAATACGCTGAATGGAAAACCCTGCAAATGTAAAGGAAAACCCTGCAAATGCAATACAAACCACAGAGTACTTACACAATCACAAAACAAAGTAGTGGCTAGTAGGATTTTGCAGAATAAGTTACGGCATGGCATTTTTCTCTTCCCGTGTCATTGTTCCCTGCACTATGTCTATGTTTTCTGTGGGTTACTGGACAAAACAGACCCCTTGGCCAGTACAGAACAGGGAGCAGAACTCATCTGTAGAAGGCCTGCCCCTTCTACATGGGCATCAGCTCTGTGTACTTTTTTTTTTCCAGCTTTCTGAGTTCTCCAGTTCAGTGCTGCACATTGCTGCAAGCCTTCAGCAGGCAGAGGGGGACATTCCCCCACACCATCATACACAGTGGGAGAGGATAGGAGGAGCTGGTTAAGGAGTTAAAGAGTTGTGTTTTCCTCACCAGTCCTGCCTAACCAAAAAGTTCTCTTCTGGCTTCAGCTGTYTGGTTAATTGCAGAGGACTAACTTGTTAGGAAGACCACGGAGATGGTAATTGAAAATTATGGAATGATTTTTTTTTAACTGTTCATGTTTTCTTTGATCAAAGTATTATTTTTTTCAATTAAGGCTGTTAATTGTGGCATGTAGGTGAGCCAAGACATGTAGGCAGAGGTTGTATTTTTATTAGACTAACTGACATCATTGCTAAAAACTCATAGTTCAGGATTATGATGGAAACTCACACCTTGTTTTAGTTCAAATGACTGAAGATGACTATATTAAAGGGAAGCAAGCATGTACTTGTGGATAAACTACACTCTTAGTTATTTCATTTCTTACTACCTGAGATAATCTATTTGCATGCCAATTTCATAGAAAGTTCATTAAACCAACCTGTTGTATAGCTGATGGATCAGCATACAGCTGTGTTCTGTTGAGGTCTTGCATTTCTTCCTGTTTACAAAGCCTTTCTAACAGTAACTTTTTGCCTTCTGTTACTGTGTGCACTCTCTCTGTTAATAGCTTTTGGAAGTGGAGAATGGTATTTTCAGAAGCACTTTTCTTAAGTGGAACAGGTGACACCTCTGTGGACAAAAGCAAAGCACATAGTTAGAGTGCACAAGTCAATGAACTGCTGACACTGAAGTTTAACACATGCTGGATTTTCCTAAAGCTTTTCTTCTGTACTACTCTTTTGGCAGTCATTGCCTGGTGTTGTGTAAGGGATCACTGTATAATGGAGAGTAGGAATGCAGCAGACCCTGTAAAAATTATTTATATCTCAAACTTTCCATTTTGCCTAGCTACAGCCTTCTCCAAGATGTACCTACATAATGGGCAATACATGAAAGTCTATTTAATCATACAGAGTGATTAAATACAGTGTTAGTACAATTGCCGTGATGAACTAAACAGGTTGAATTAAAAAATGTCGTGTTCAGATCATTTCATCTGTCTGTAGACATAATTTTAGTATTAAAAATAGGGGTGAGCTCCTTAAAACTTAAGTTTTTTGTTCTTCATTGACATTTTTGTTCTTCTTTGACTTTATTTAGGGCCTGACAATCCTGCGCGAAGAGAAATAAATGGCTGACCTTCCCCATATATCACATGCCACATATTTCTATCCTTTCCATCCACTTTTCTCTCTCCATAATTCTGTATCCTATCTTCTCTTTGAAACACATAAAAAACGTGTTTTCTTGTGTACAACACATTAGACATGTTTACAAACAGTAATTGAGGAAATCCGTATCCATGACTGTGCCTGTCCCTTCTTTCCCTTAAGCAACACAGGCAGTTGAGACATCTTGGTTTTTAAATAGTATCTTTTCTTTGCATATGATTCTTATAAATCAGTCTTTTTTTTTCCCTGATGTTTACTTAATTTGTACCAAGTATAAGGCTTGAAATAAATAAATTGCAGTTTTCCTTAAACCTACATTTTTATCAGAACACTTCTTTTGCTGACTGTTGTGGGTGAGAGAAGAATGTTGGTTTGGAGCTTGGTGTTAAGTTCTAGGATTATTTTTTTAACTGTTTGAAATACTGGGTATGATAATCTGGCATCCAAGCCAAGAGCAATGTATAGATGCTCTTAAAAGTCTGGTGCTCTTACCATCATTCCATGTTTTTCTCTTGATACTCAAAGATCCTGTGTTTGCTGTAGCATCTCCCACTGAAACTTAGAAGAGAAAAACAAGGTGACTAAGTATTTTGCCAAAATTCTCAAGGCACAGTCAATCACACACCAAAGAGTTTTATACTACAAAAGTAAATAATCTAGGGCAAGACACATTTATTTGGCAGATGCCTCAAACAGATTAATAACTGAAGCTTCTTTCCTGAAAGGTTGTTGTTTTCCTGGCCACTGCATCAGCATTCACAGCCCAGATTACACAGTCCTTTTCTAGTATGCTAAAATGTAAAACAGCCAGGTTGATTGTTGGTTTTGACAACATTCTTGATGTTGACAAATCCCATTCATGGAGAGTAGAAATGAGCAGTAATATATTCAGTTTCTATATCTGGAAGAAAATATATGTCTTGAGAACATAATCAAGCACAAGACTGAGGCAGGGAGAACAGTCATCCCACAGCTGTGTGGATGCTATTCCAGCCACAACTAATACTGTATGGTGCCCTTGGACACCCTGTKAGGGCTCTGATTCATGACTGAGGACAACTGGCTTAAGGATGGTCCCAGCAGTTTCTGCTCAAGCTGTCCATCTATCCTTTGCTGCAGAAATGGTTCAAGTCCTCAACTAACATTTGTGATTTTGCAAATTATTATGTAACATATTGAGAACAATCAAAATTAGTTCTGGTTTACTGTACGTCACTGAACCCTAAGTTGCAGAGGCTCAGTTGATTCCAGCAAGAGCACTTGATCTGCCTGGAGCAAGGACAGGTGCCTCTGAGCTCCAGAGCAGCTGGCCAGTCATGAGAACCCTTACCACAGATACAAAATTAGCTGTGTGGTTCCTAGATCAGAGAGTTTTTGATTCTAAAATAGAAGAAAACTCTATTTTGAAAACTGAATCTGCTTTAGGAAAATTAATATAATAACTACAAGTGCTCAGATAAACATCACTGCACTGGATTTTTCTCTCTCTTGACTGCAGGGTGTATCRAATTAATATGGTTTGGGTGTTCTGGAGTGCTTGCATTTGTCTTAATTGCTACTGATTTCTGCAGTTCTAAATGGTATGAGCTTGCAGCTCTCCATCAGACTTTACATGCCTGCTATATTGGCCTCTAAAACCTGCCATGTGTTCTAGTACCATTTCACTGTATGTCAATTAGGCTTTCAAAAGGAAAGATTCTCCAGTAACAGTAAATGCCTCAGTGCTTTCACTTTTTGCTAATCTCAASTCTGCATGTCTCCATAGACCACTTGTGTTCCCTGAGTGTTCCCTGTGTGACCATGCAGATACAGATTCCCCAGTTATTTTCCCTCCCTGTTTCGGGCCACACATTTCACATGTACAGCATGGCTCAAACAGGCAATTTCAAAAAGTTTCATTTTAAGCACTTTATCTCATCACTGAAGTTTTTGATACCTGATAGGACACTTGAACTTTCACATCCCCAGCCTGAGGTTCCCAGAGGTTGTCTTCTTAAGATACAGTCAACTTCATCATAGAATCGCATTTTTCTCCTGGGATTTCCAAGATGCTCATTTTCTTTCTGCAGTGCACGGTATTCATATTTTAGGTTCTTGTACTTTGTGCGACATTGTTTCCAGTCTCTGTCTATACCACGTTTCATTAACCTTCTGGCAATTTCCTCAAATATTTCTTTATTTCTTGTGGCCCCTTCAAGCATTTGTTGTATCTTTTCATCTGACCATATGTTTATCAGAGCCCTAACTTCATTATCACTCCAGTGTTTTCCTGCTCCAGTATCATTAACTGTAATAACTTTAAAGTGATTTTGTGCTTCTTCCAAGGGAATGTGATTGTCTGAAAATATAAATAAAAAACCAACTAACAGTAAATGCTATAAATATATGCTAAATATACATATATGAAAGCATAATTGCAACTAATGATTAATCTTTTAACTTTATAATGTTTGTATCCATACACAACTGTTTTCTCTTAAATACGCAAAATACACAGCAAATGGAACCTTGTTTCTCCAAGGCATTCAAAATCCAACATTTTGTCACTGTAATTTTTCTGCTCTTGTTGTCAAATTCAAGACAGATGTATACAAGTGTTACATTTAGGAAAGCAATAATCCTTAAGCTTTAAAGATTTCAGCATTGGTGAGAAGTGTGGTTTCAAATTAAAATGGCAACGTGCAAATGAAAAGGCTACTGGAGTTTCAACAGAAAAAGAAAAACCTTGATACTCAAAAAAAGGCAGAAGTAGGCAGATGCTGCTCATCAGATATGTACAAAATGTAAAGTTGAACTACAGTATTAATGCAAGTTTTGCTCATGAGAAGGAACAGAGCTATGAAACTAATTTTTAAGGTTACTAGCAAGGCTAGACTGGAGTCAGGAGTAGAAAAGTAGAGCTGTGTTCACAGTAGAGATCTGGTTGCTCCAGCTTTGGTACTGAATTTACAAAATTATTTATTTCATAATAAATTCATGGAAATTAATACTGACCTGTCCCAACCATCCGTTTTGCTACTGGTGTACAAGATCTCTCTTCTGAGGTAGTGCTTATAGAATCATCATCTATAGAAACAGTTTAAAGTGAAGTAGACTTCAATTTAGACAAATGAATTGCTGATATTATTGTCATCCTCTGTAGGAAACACCTGTTTTCACCTAAAAGTGTCCTAAGCCCTTAGACTAGCCTATTAGTTACAGACTTGAAGAATCACAAATCATAGAATCATTTAGGGTGGAAGCACTAATCATTTAGGATGGATATAGCACTGCCAAGCCCGCCAGTAAACTGTGTCCCTAAATGCCACATCTATATTTAAATTCCTTCAGGGACYGTGACTCCACCACTGCCCAAGTCCAAGGTGACAGTTCTGTCCATGTCCCTGCTTACTTCACCAAGAACTGAAAGCATTGCCATTTTGTGACCACTGTGGCCAAGAGGCTTCCAACCACTGTCAGTCCACCACCAGGCTCAGTGGGTACCTTTCCTAGTTGGCTCCTTCACCAGCTACATCWGGCAGTTGTYTGCCACACACTCCAGGGATCTCCTAGACTGTGTCCTCTGTATTTCCAGCAGATTTCTGGTGAGCCAGCCCTCAGAGGGCCGGTGACTGTGAGACTTCTCCCAGCTGCTTATAAAGTATTTCAGCTGCCTTTTCACCCTGGTTCRTGGTCTGGAACAGACTCCCAGCAGGATACCTCCTTGTTCTTCCCTTGATTCTTACCCATACATACTCAAGTCACCCACATGAGCTCTAGACCATCAAAACACTCTCTAACATGCAGAGTACCCCGCAGTCTCTCCTTCCTTTCCCGTGTGTTCTGAAAAGTCTGTAGCCATCCATTGCAGCACTCCAGCTGTGCAAATCATCCCACTGGCTTCAAGATGGAAACTGTTGTTGTTTTCCTGCTGCACAGTGGCATCCAGCTCCTCTTACTGCCCATGCTGTGTGCACTGGTGTTGATGCACCACAGCTGGACTTTTGACCCCACCATCTTTTGGAGGTGAGCTCTGATTTCTACATGGTCATTCTTAGGTGCTTCTGTGGTTTCTAACACATCAATAASCCCCCTGTGTCTTTGCTGATCTCCATCCCCTGAATCTACTATGACAGCAGATTGAAGGACCTCTCTAGAACACCATCCCTCAAACATTGGCATGTTTGAGGGATGGTGTTCTGTCGCCCCCAGTCTCTCTAGTAAGTCTAGTCTTATCTCTTTACAGCTTCAAACTTATTTTAAAACTCTTGCAAGGGAGCTCTGCTAACTCCTCTGCAAAGACTTTTCCCCCTTTGAGATAGGTGTCAGCAAGTCTGGTGTCAGGGAACCATGATTAAAATACCCAGCATTTTCCCAGTGTCACCAGGCTTGCCACCAGATCTGCTGGCTCTTCCTGGTTTTTTGCCCATATCAATTTTTGCAGCTGGAAGAAGAGAAAATTGCTTGTGCTCTTGATCCTTTAACCCGTTGTTCCAAGGTCCTGAAGTCTCTCTCGATTGCCCTCAGGCTTCTATTTACAACTTCATTGCTGCCTACTGAGAAATTTTTGAAATCATCTATGAACATCAAAACCCAGCTTGGCTGGTTCTGGGCTCATTCACTCATGCTCAGACTACTCTGAGGCTGAAAGTTCACTTTTGTGTGGTTTTTTTGGGTTGGGAGGAAGAGAAAGACTAGTTCTGGTTGATAGGGGATATCATAGACTAATTATGTTCAATTATGTTCAGAATTATGTACTGTTTTGGATAAAGGGTAGAAATAAATATTCGTTATAGGTTTTGAAAAAATAAGTGCTTACTTAGGCTGTCATAAATAGAGATTGTAAATAGACAGGTTCATTTGATATGCTTTCTGTAATGGTACTTACCAATATACAGACAAACTACTACTTGGAATTTGTATTTTATCTAAAACTCATTTTCTCTTAAGTTATTTGGCAAATACTTGTTTTTCATAAGCCATTGCACAAATTTATTTTGTACCTTTGGAAAATCTGGAAATCGTACTTCACAACCATGTGTGTGTGTGCTTTACTTGGGGTACCAGATAAAAAGTATTTTTTCTCATAAATAGGCAACCTATACTCTTGAGAAAATTCTTGCATCCTTCTGAACACCTGCAGCTATTGGAATTGTGCCAAAATGGAGCTGCAGGTCTACTCCTAGGCTCCTAATAGATTCTTTTTTTTTTTTAAACCATTACCAACCTCCCCATGGCTTTCATTCTCTCAACCATACTGGCTCTCCGATCTCCTCCTGTCTTTGGCGATGGCACTTGTGTAGTGCTGACCTGCATGATTACTGTCCTCAATTGGATATTATATGATAGGGAGTTTGTGTGTATGAGGCAGTCAGTTGAGCTGCATGACATTTTATTCTTCACTTTGCATTCCTGTGACCTCACTATGTCTCAACTTTCAGGGTCATAGATTTACTTTATCCTGTGTCACTTGTGTTTGTGTCACTGTTGTGATGGCACTGCTCTGATGTCCTCAGTGTCACTATAGTTGTCTTTCATGATCAAGATCAGCCAATGCAAACACTTGTAAAGGGTGCGTTGCATAGGGTGTCTCAACATCCAAACTACAGATAACATGATTGCTGAAAAGGAAGCTCTAGCCTGGAATGTGCCTGATGCATACAACAGAAATATTCTTATGGGAGAAACCTTCAGTGTCAAAGGCCAAAGAATTTCTGTCCACAGAATCACTGTCATTTTTTAATTTCTTCTATTAACTTCTGGGTACAAACATCACTACTGTAAAGAATATTTTGATCCAAGGTGCCAAGTCACTATGTTTCAATATCATCATTATTTCCTCTGATGCCTTTTTTTCATGATCATCTATGGTTTTTACACTCACTTATTCCAAAATATTAATATCCCTAATGTCTTCTAATGTTAAATTTTAACATTTTAAATAAAACAAATCTTCTCCTTGTCATTGAATACATGGCTTCTACATATTGCTGAGGTGCTGATTTCAGTTGTATATTTAAAATAATTCAGAATATATGTGGAATTGTTTGATGGTGAATCATCTGATATTAAATGCAGTCATGAAGTAGTTTGAAAATACAGACTAAAATGTTCTGAGACAGATATTTACCATTCCAGTTTATCCTCTTTAGTAACTGTGTAAGAAAAACACTATTTGTGTCAGAATTAAATGCAGACTAATCATATTCATCATTAAAAGGAGCATGTTGTCTGTGAAAATAAGATTTTGTTATAAATAAGGGAAGGAGAAATAAGCATTTATACATTTCTGCACTACAAAATCAAACAAACCCCATATTTTATCATAACTTGGAAGTAGAACAGGTATAATTTGCTGGAATAACGTGAACTTTACAAAACTGTAATGCCTAGTGAAGTAGAATGTCCTGTTAAAACTATTAAGACAAAGTCTTGACCTACCTATATCAATAGTCTCTTTCTTTATTTGTGTGGCTTCCAGAGCTCCTGGGGTGGAGTTGGCAAAGTCCCCCTCATCTTCAAGGATTTCTGTATAAAATAACAATTTACAGAGTTCTTATTAACTATCAGGTCTTGAGTGATGTCTTGAGAATCACCCACTCCAGAATGCCACTGATAATAACTACTGTTACAAGATTTCCTCCCTTAATACATTAAAGCTGCCACTTCTCTGTATAATAGGCTTAATAACGAGGTGTACCCATTTATGTATTGAAGTAAATCTTGAACACCGCATAACAGCTGCAGCAAGTTTATGGGTTAAATATGCAAACTCTTGAATTATTTTAACCTGGATCAATATTTGTAGAATGGTTTGCTGATGGTGGGTGTAAGATATCTAGTAACAGGCAAACGCTTATGCAGCAGAAGAGACAAGACAGTGACTAGCATAAAGGGTGAGGTACATACTGGAATTACTGAAAGACTCCAAAGTGACTGATGCCAAGAATTGGTGTCTGAATTAGCCCCAAAAGGATTAAGGGTCCCAACACTGCATCAGGGTGCTGTGCATGGACAACTGATCTGTAAGGCTGCCTGCCTGATGGAGACAATGTACTAAACGCTTGTCCTGAGAGCATCTCTGCTGCTGCAGCTTTCAGGGGTTTACATCACACAGCTGGGTGACAGAGGTGTCCCTGGGCTCCCCTCCATGGGGAGGAGATCTCTGCTCTTCTGCCATTGGCCCATTGGTGTTCATGGGAGAATTCCACCCCTCTGCCCTGGGACAGAGGCATGGGCAGGTGGATGATGCAAGTGGTCTTGCTGATCCTTGCTTCCAGTGAGGACACTGCTCTACAGAGATTAAGTGGTGAAGGCCACATCATGGATCAATGACAGCAGGTTCCTGGCTCCCAGCCTGTTCTCAGTCCATTCAAGCATATTGCCCCTAAACATTGAGCAATAAAGTTTAATCTAGGGCTATTTTATTAAAAATTACCCCCAGATCAATACAGCTTTGTTTGCATCAGATGTTCTTTATGATGTGACTAGCATCATGTGCCTTTTTTTTTTTTTAGCATGCCAAGAATGTGGGTAGGGAGCCTGGCTTTTTTTTCTAAGCCACTTTTCAGAGTTTTTGGAGGGAGGGCACAAGGAGAGCATGACTGAGCCAAACAGAACAAGCCATCGACAGTTTCTGGCAGGGATAAAACACAGTGGCTCCATCTGCATTATTCAGTGAAGCTATAGACAGTTGCCAGCAAATATGCTTAATCTCTACTTTGTGTTTGAAGCACTGCTCACAAGGCCASCCGAGCAAATGCTGTCACAGTCTTTCCTTTCACCCACTCAGACTGATACAAGCTCTGTTCTCTTTTGGCACTCTGTCACTATCACTAATTATCTTGTGTTCTGGCTCATGAGGCAAGATTAGTAATTTGTCTCCTAATCCTTACTCTCATGTGTGTCTTGTATATTATAAAAAGGAAGTGGGATATGTTAAAGCCAGGGAAAATTTTCAGTGTGTGGCTTATGTTTACTCTCCAACGACTTGCAAAGTTGCTGCCATCTCTGTCATACAAAGTGTGGATACTTGAGAGCGGATACAGAAAACTTAGATGCATAGTTAAGAGTTTGTGTCTGCAGCCCAAATATGCCTAGGCTAAGGCTGTGAATAATCAAGAACTTTAGGGTTTGCACTTCTCAGAATCACTGCTTAACACTAGCCTGGGGCATATGTATTAAAACATTATCTTTTGACTTTATATCTGTATGTTTTAAAATTCCATGCACACAGCAGCAAGTATTCAAGCCAATGTTAAGTGCCTGAGTGTACTGACTTAAGATACTACCTTTTAACAACAGATTTTTAAAAGCCCTTGCTTAGGAATCTTAGAAGTGTCACGACTTACTCCAAAATTGTTCCAAGAGGGACATATAGTAAAGTATATGGGGTACCAAAAATCCTAAGAAAACAATGACAAGGAAAGGAATTTGTTTGAAGTAAAATACTTGCTGTTTTTTAGGAACCTCAGGCTAGTGGTATTTCTTAGAAACCTGTTTTCATCTCCACTGTTGTTCCCTGGCACTTCAGATTTAATCAAAGATCTATACGCACACTGTGTTGTTTGTACTAATGAGTCTGACACATGCGGACTGTACAGGGAGTTTGGACTGACAGATTGTATACACTAAAGCAATTGGCTCTTCTGAATAGATTTTTGGAACTAACTAAAAGTGATCTCACAAAATTGAAAACATCAGTGAAAATAACTAAACAAGGTTTTATTTGGAGATTGATTCAATGTGGGGTATGTTTAGGCAGAAGAAAGCAACCTGCAGTGTCTCAGGACACTGCTTTAGCTGAAAACCCAGGGGTTGGGGAGTGTTGTGGTCCTCCTGCTCCCCCAGCTGGGCAGTGCTGACACTGACGTGTTAGGAACTGGGACAGGCTATAAGGATTTATTTACCTCTGTCTTTTCCTTCTCAGGTGGGTATTTGCTGCTCTTTGAGTAGCAAATTCATGTGGACAGAGKAGAAAAACAATACCATAGCACATCAAATAACCAGGTGTTTTCCTGAAACTGGTGTATTCATCTTTTAACTAACACCATCTTAGCATTTTCCTTACTAGAGKGTGGCAAACCCAAATGGGCTGTTTATAAAGACTGGCAGTGCTGACTGCGTTACTGTGGCTCATAACTCAGATTCACATGTAAAATCATGAGAAGCATGTGTACTCAAGGCAGCTTGTGCAACTTCTGTGCATTTATGCAGCCACAGTTGGCCAGATCTGTGTCTATATACATATATATATGTGTGTGTGTGTGTCTGTGTGTGTGTGTGTGTGTGTGTGTGTGTGTGTGTGTGTACGTATATGTATATGTATATGTATATATGGGCAAATGCATATACAGCTCTGGCTGCAGAGTACATAAACTGCATATACTGATAATGAAGATACCCTGATATGGGTTTAACAGAATTTCTAAGTTCTTATTTATGTCAAATTGGGTTTTTCTATGAAGTTTTTTTTCAGGCACCCAAATACCTATAAATTCAATAATTCCATGCCTGTTGAGAAACACTTTTCTACAAAAGTTCTGTGAAATGCAGTAGCTTTTAAAAAGCCACATCCTAAATCCAATGATCATGAGATATTACTATTATCAAAGAATCAATGTAATGTATCACTCCCTGCTTGCCTTTTATCAGCAAGTATATTTTAAGTACAGAGGTACATACAATCCCTTCACTTACTAATTTCTCACTTCAAAATTATTTGGACTGTCTAAGAAAGGCAGGTAATCACAATTAGAGAACAAATGGTCTCCATTATACTGCATGTGCACACATATAAAAGGTATGCATCTTTTCTCTGCTTTATGCAGTATTTAATTATGTTACATTAAAGACCAGGTATCTTTTACCACCTGCAATAAAATTACTTGAGTGGGTATTGTTTGTTTGGGAATGAGGGAAAGAATTTTGCAAACTGAAGTTATTAAAGATGGAATGTGGCTTTGCCTTTTTCTGCCACAGAACTTTGAAAAATAGTCCTAAGGGTGGATAGCCTGAACCACAGACACTTCTGAAGCACTTGCTATTTTAATTTTTTCCCACACAATCATATTACAATTACCCAGAAACAAAGAAAGTATGCAGTTAAAATACCTATATTTGAAAAGGGAGATGGTAACCAAGGTAAACTACAGATATCTTTACACCTACACTTATCCTAAATGTCAAAAATGTGTACTCAGAACTTTACCAGAAATACTCATTCAACTTCATCTTAAATAACTTGTTTGGAAGAGTGCAGTCCAAGAAGTTACAATATTATGTAGCACCAGGCAGTTGAAAACCATCAGATGACAGTTAAGGGGCATTGCTGAATGTTTGTATTCTTAAGTGTCTTACTACTGTCCATGTATATGTAGTAATTTTACTTCTTGATGGGGAAAAATGGAATTTAATGCATTTTTTTAAGCAGTCCTAACTGGATCCCACACAGTGCTCTTTATGATTTCTTTCGTATTTGTCTCTCTCAAAATGAGGTCCCTATAGATAATGCACTTTTCATGACAACTTGTTTTTCTCCATGGAATGCCTCAAGTGCCCATGGTGAGCTGGTAAAAGGTAGCTATGGGGCTTTTTTATTAGTAAATTTAAATTCTTGAATGTAATTGCTATTGAATGAAAAAATAACATTGCTACTGTCTGGTATACCTCAAATTACCTCTCACGATCAGTCATCTCTTTACTTACTTGTCATAGCTGTTTCTTTTGTTATATGCAGAGCTGCCCGATCCTCTGGAGTAGTATTTACAGTAACATCATCTGTCAGAAGATTTTTAATTTGATATTAAAATCTTTCAAGTTCACATTAGACTACTTTAAAATCTGTAAGACTATTCCTTAATGCTTAATTTAGACCATTTTCTGCCTCACATTACTGAAAGAGAACATGAGGTRCTCTGTTATGGACAATAAAACCTGTCAGCCTGTGAGACTTCCATGTGTCTCTAGATGAATGTTAAAMTTCTGCTTTCCCTGAAACTTACGCTTTCAGATATAAGCCATAATCTTTCTTTGTAAAGAGCAGAGCATATGACCTTCATATTCAGTAAAACTCTTAAATGAAGTCTTCATCCCCTGACACGAGTGTTTACACAATTATATCCTGATCACATATTAGTTCAGGCATGGGAAACTGAACAATTGTCTTGAAATCTAATCCTTGGGAATACATAGTTTAAGTAAATGTCAATGCATTGCACTCAACTTGCTTAAACCAGTAGTTTCTTCTTACATTGCATATCATGAGTCTTTGAAATAACTACTAACTAGACTGATTTTATCAAATTGAGCAAGATATTGTAAATGTACATTATGGTTACCTCTATGACACTATCTCTTGCTTTTAAGTTTACTAGGTATCTAGTAAACTAGATTACAGCATTTTCTGCCTGTAATTACAATTTGGGCTTACTTTAGAAATTAATTTTAATTTACTAAATTTAGATATTTATATGAAATGGAAGACTTTTCAGATTACCTGAATCAGGAATTTTCTTTATATCTGCAACCTGTAAGTCTTCTGATATATTACTAACAGAGTCCTCTTCACCTGTGTCTCCAGGCATTTCTGTGTAAATAATAATAAATTAATTAGGGCACCAAATATTTATATTTCATAGTAACAGCCGTGRTGTATCAAATCAAAAATCCATGGAGCCTTGAATGCTCTTTATGCCAGCAGGCAAAGTAGATGCATTAGCAAAATCTAGAAATGGCAACTGAAGACTGAATCTTCCCCAAAATGTTTTCACATTTTTCAGCCAGATTGTCTTTGTGTTAATATTTTTCTTGACTTCTTCCATTATTTTACTAACTTCTAGATTTACATTTGGCCAACATAATATCAGCCCCTCRTCTCAACTGTAATGAAGAGTTTCACGTTTAATTCTGTTCTTAAACAAAATGTTTCTGGTTGTACTGATAAAAATGTTTTAACTCTTGGGTAGTGTAGGTTTATTAGTCTACTCTAATTCTGCACTGATCATCCGTTACCAAGTTAATTGTCAGTAACCACTCAAAACCAAAGGCAAGCTCTGTCAGCTTTCTTGGTKCTGTTCCTTTTGCTATTTTCACAGCTGTCTCACCAGTTTGGGAGTCTTGCAGCAAAGGCCAATAAAATTGAGCTATTTGGGACCATAAGAGATAGACAATCTAGAYGTTAATTTTTTAACCAATGTCTATAAGTACAGATTTCTTTTGCACAATGTCTTAATTTTTCTAGTAACATTGACTATCTGTCTGATCCATTTCTTTTATCTAAACTGGAAACAATTTTTCTAACATGATTTTCACTGGAATTGTCTCTCTTTTTCATTTTATCTTATCCTATGTCTTCATCTTTTTTCAATCTGAAATATTACCTTATAACATAATACAAAACTACTAGACAAAATAGCCAATCAGTTCATCTCTCTGGTTGCACTTTCTGGGGTTTTTTAAGGTCTCTCCAGTGCTGGAAAACTAAAAATTGTAAATGAYATGTACTTACCTATGGAATCCTTTTCTGATTTTGCTTCTGTCCATTCTGGAGGCCTCTCACTTTCATCATTATCTGATTTATTTGCTTGTTCCATGGTGCAGTGCCCCAGAATAGCATCCAGTTCATTAAAAAATTTCATACTTTTAGTCGTACTCCCTGAGTCTTGGGCACTTTTTACACTCTTGTATTCATGTTTCAGATTTTTGTATTTTGTCCTGCACTGCTTCCAGTCTCTGTCAATTCCAAACTTTTGAAGTCTAGCAGCAACCTGTTCAAATATTCTTTTATTTCTCACTGTCCCCTCCAGTTGTTGCTGGATATTTTTGTCTGACCATATGCGTATCAAGGCTCTGACTTCATTAACAGTCCAGTGTTTCCCTCCTTCATTTGCTACTGTAGGAATAAAAGTCGGTGGTCTGGAAGCCTCTACTGCTGGCGCTGGATTACCTGCATTGTGTGGGGTAGGGGAGAGACACAGACATGAGTTACCTGCATTGGGTGGGTGGGGAAAGGACAGAGACAATGGGAATGAAGTATACTGTTTCTCCAGAGAAAAACGGAGCAGAGGTGACATTAAAATTAAGCTATGGTTATTAATTTGTCAGCACTTTTGTTAATTCTGGTAAWTTTTGCCTTTGCTTGAAGAAGGATATTAAGATAGCACATGTACATTTAATTAATCTGGGAGGAACATTCCTTCTGTGCCCTAATACACTACACTTTCATCTGTCACACCTTTGGGAAAAACTGATGAGCTGCTTTGTCCTTCAGACATTGGAGAGGAGTACTGTTGGGAAGATGGGATGTGCTGCATGAGCACAACAATAAATTTGTCCCAAGTCACTAACACTAGTATCAAGACTTAATTTGATGGTTAAGGTTTGCACACGTGGAGAGATTTAATCTGGGTAAAGATCTGAAGAATCTGATCCTCATTTCTTAACAAAGTAACCCAGTTGTGAGGAGCACAGGAATGGAGAATTTTGCTTAAATTGAACATTTATGTGATGGAAGCCATTTCTCATGGCACGGAACGTCCACCTTTCTCAGGGCAGATCAATCAAAAATATTKGTGATTTTTTAGTAAAAATTAGTTTGAGTTGCCTTACTGTGCAAAAYGAAGGTATTTTTTATCTTCTCCAGTGTACAACTTAATTTTTTAACAATGTGAGGTAAAGGTTGCTACCCATGCAATAACTTGAAACACTGAAATATGATACCTTTTAGTTTTTTAATGTTTTCTTGTTTCTAATTATGAATTTGCTTTAAGACTTTTGATTATCAGATAAGTTAGGAAAGTGATTTCTCATGCATTTTCTAAATATTTGCAAAAATAACTATTTAAAAAAGCAACCAAACAAACGTAAAACCAATTCTAGGGCTTYATCAAAAAGAGCAAACATGAAAATGCACAGTAACTGACAGGTTTTTGTAGTCATACTGAAGTGATAAATGCCTTTGTCAGTGTCTTTTTCTGGAAAGGCAAACCACATTGTGGGGGTTTGATACTTTATAGCCACKGAGATTTGTGTAACAGCAATAGTATCTGACCCTTGATTCTGGTCAACACCTTCAACTGGAGCATACTTCTAATAACCTGTCTGGGGACAGGCTTGTCCTAGATAAACCCACTCTTTGCTAGTCTCCATAAGTCATTCTGGTTGTCAATAAGTTGTTCTAACAGATACCATTTTTTCCCCTTACAGTCCTGTGTTAATCAGAACTCAGCAGCAGCAGCCAGCTCACTGGCAACATAGTTGAGAAGGGTAATTTTGAGGTGGCACATCAATTWTKYTTTCTCCATTTCTTCTTGAGGGAGTGAAAGAAAATGCTGATTTACAGGTGAATCAAACCATAGGAACTGCTACAGCTGACCACTGCTGACATCAAATAGATCAGAGAGGAAAGGCCCAGGGAAGAACAGGAGAGGAAAAAAAATCCAGGGTGCTTCCCGCACTTCCCAGTCAAAGCCACAGAGCATGGGGGCATCTGGGAGGAATAAAGTTTCTTTACTCCTTGTAAAGAGTAGACCAGCATTTCTCACTAGGTCAGTTCATTTCCAACTGAGCTCACTTTTGATTACAGATATTAGTTCAAATGAATTCTGGTGACTCTGTAGGTTGTTCCCTTATTCTGCTCTGTGCAGAGCGGAAAATGCTGGGTTTGTTTGTTCCTCATTCCCTTTAAAAAACATGCTGATTCAAAAAACTTCAAAGTACAAGTACTGCTTTGAAACAAAGYTGTTAAAGTAAGTGCAAAAATTTTCCTTATGTCTTAACAACATCTTATTTCTAATGTGTTTTTTAAAAATGTTTAAGCAGGATATACATTATTTTTTATCTGAAAGATGTATTTATGCTGTATTTAATCTTTTTCTAAGCTTCCTCAAACATGAGAAATCTGCTGAAATGAAACCAAAATATTAGGCATTTTATCTACACAGGGCTTAACATTTTTCTGTCAGTGGTTTCTGAAAGAGTGCCTGAAACTTACAGWYTAGAAGAGGTACTAGGGGAGGGCATTTTAGTGCTAGTACATACTTGAGAGCCCAWGCAATTGAAGTTGCTTTGCTGACATTATAGAAAACAGCTTCCTCAGAATTGAAGACTGTTCTGCTTAGCAGTGTGTCGAGTACTGAGAAATAGAGAGAGATTGCTGCAAAATTTGATTCAGATACTTTCTGCATGTTTTGTTTATGTGCATAAAGTATTTTGTATGTGCATAAATTCCATCTGAGATTCTGGTCTCTTCCTTAATTTCTTTCTATGCCAGGCAAGAGGGGTGTCCTGTGTAACATAAAAGCCACAGGTTTAGCCTGTGCCTTGTCTTATTCCTGGATATGGCACCTTCCAGATTCTGTAATGAAAGTTGCTGTAACTGGACTGGAATGTATACTATGGCATGGAGGGTATATAAAAAATAAAAAGAGCATGTAGGAAATTCAGGTCAGTGCTGCTGTTCATTCAGACAAGAAATCAGCTCATCAGTTGCTTAAATCTGCCTAGCATGTGTTTAGGTTTCTCCATTTCCTTTAGCTGCCCCTTGAAGGGGTGCAGACCKAGGATCCTCTTCCCCTTTCTGACTTGCCAGATTTGTGCCTTTGTTTTTTAACTTTCCTGAGCAAAACTGCTAGAGTAGGAGGTTTTCCAAATGAGTTGTTCTGTGGTTGGTTGGACTAAAGCATTGCTGACCACCCCTTGTTTGGGGAGACAACTTTAAAGTTATGCTGGAGACCACTACAAGTCTGGATTGCTCTGCATATCTCTTCTGGCTCATGCAACTCATGCTGCTTTAACCATCCATGATTTAAGAAAATGACCTAAGGAAGTTAGCTACAAGTTGACATGGGTATCCACACTAGCATTTGGCATACTTTCCACTAGCATTTAACAAAATTACTGTGGTTAATGCAGTTAACATGGTTCAGGTATAGCATGGGATGTGTTTTGCATGTGAATGGTGTCATGTACAGCCATGTCTAGTGATGCATGACACTGCTGAGTTCTAACGCTGGGAAGGAGATGGTGCAAGAGTGTGGCCGTATTAAAGCTATGCTGAGCAGAAACAGAATGAAAGTATTCAAGTTATCAGGAAGTGCTCTGACACCCATGCTGCTTTTTAGCTTTTGATCTCTGTACCATCATACTGTACCTAGAGTAACTGGTCTGGCATGAGACATAAAAAGTAGTGGATCTTCTGGAGCATCCTCCTCATCTTCTAAAGAAACTGCTATTTCACCTGGGAAGGAAAGAGTTCTTAGATGAAAAATAGGTATATACCAAATTAGCTTAAATTAGTTTAAATTGAAGTGTCCATACACCATGAGAAGATCTTTAACTTGGTAATCTCGACATTTAATTTGTAGTTACATTAAATTTAAAATTAATTTAGCCTTTCCCATTAACTGGGATAGGAGTTATAGGAGGCAAATTATTTTACAGCTTGCATATGAAGCCTGTTTGAAGGTGTGTTAAAATTCTGGTTGAAACTGACTTGATTCGTATATGCTCTTCTCACTCAGTATTCCAGAYAGCACATTACAAGTATAGTTCGAAAGTAGATAATGTAAAGTAAGAGACATACAAAGGCAGACTTTGCACATAGATCCRTAAAATCACAAATCCCTTTATGTAACAAAAATAAAATTCCTAGAAGAGTATGAAGAAAACAAGCATGTTCTGCAAAGAGCTCTGGAAATTAGGGAATTCATTAATGGCATGGGGAGGGAACCAAAATATTCATTGTCACTTGACAACAGACAAATTGGTAGCTGACATCATTAAGTCTAACCTTTTCTAGCATAGCTTTTCTACATTTGTTTAAAAAATAACAATCTAGCAACTGCTATGTAAGTTTATAAAGCAGTATATGTAAGTCAGGTTCAGAACTAGCTCAATTTTCACAGAGGACAGACCTGTGAGTTGTCCTGTGGAAGTGTGCTGTATTCACCATGCCGTATTGACACAAGGCTTCAAATGTTGATTCCCTGTACGGGGAGCTGAGCTGCTGTGAGCTCCAGCCAGGCAGGGCACAGATCAAAGCTCCCAGGCTCTGYCGTAATTCGTCACGGGAGCAGTAATGAGGTGCAGGTTAGGATGCAACCTGCTACCCCTGACGTCGGTGAAACTGAAAACTGCGTTTGAAAACGTTATCCTAAATCCTCCTGACTTTGAGCAAGGCTGACGGTGACTCATAGATGCAGTGGCCTGATCTCTGACTGCTCCCAGCTGTCCGCCTGGCTTCCCTGGCAGGAGCTGCTGCATGCCTCCACCTCCCGCGACAAGGCTGGCATTTTCACTTCTTAAGAGCAACAAAACAAACCAGGGAGACAGGAATACATTCTCTGCTGGAAGGCTTCTGAATGTGGCACTAGCATGAGCAAGGTTAATTATATTGTCATATTAAAAGAGTAATATTTTTTGTTAAGTAAATAAGAACAGTTACCACAAAAAGATACTGCTATCTTTGATGGGGAGGTTTTTTTTAAAAAAAAAGCATTTGAAGAGCAGAAAAGTTACTCAATAAAAGTRTTGCACACTTGTTCTTGAAAAGCTAAATCAAATACTTGTCAATGACATGTTGAAAGTCCAGATATTGAAAACCATGTATAAGTGGCACTTTCAAGACAGGATTTTTCAAGGATCTTTCTCGGTTTTACTAGCTGAGTTTTCTGCCAGTCATTGCTGGTGCATTTCTGCTCAGTGATAATCTTTCTGCATTTGCTGAGATAAAGGCAACCAGTGCCTTAATATTTAAACATAAAGAGAGAATTTACAAGAAGTGTAAATCAGTTGAATTACTAGGTGACTATTTTGTAAATAATATCTTTATTAATAGTTGATTTAACTTGAAACAATCCAAACTGGTTAACACAATGGAAAGATCATTCATTTGAACTCAAATGAAAAATACTATTTTTCATAGCACACCATCACTTACATGGATTTTATTGTTGATGATTAGTGGGATAATACACAAACTACTTTAAGAGAAGTGAATGTGTTGACTTGTATCTTTTTCAATGCTTATTTAAGCTACAACTTTGCCTCTGAAACATGTTTTGCGAGGACAAAATGAACATGTCTGCTTACATTTCTGCACGTGTTTATGCATAAAGTGTCACCTTTTCATGAGCAAGGTGAGAACAGCTATGTGTTGCCACCAAGTTTGTCCTGAGACACCCCTCTCAGATTTGATGGAGATTTTCAGTAATATTTCTTCAGCTAGACTTTCAAAAGAAAACTGACTTTACCGGATATTAAAAATTCTGACTTTACCAGATATAAAAAACACTATTGAAATACCATTCAGTCTTACAAAAAAAAGTAGTCTCTTTTCCTCCTTTCCCCAGCAATCTCCCAGTAGCTGAAATAACATAAAGACATACTTTGTGTCTTTACATTAAGGATGTGTATGAATATTGAGACTGAGGCTAAGCAGAATGGTAAATATACGGTGAATTATTTGGGAACATCCCCTGTCCTATGTCATGCTTTTTAAGAAGATAAATTAATATAGCTACCAATTTCTTCAAATAAAGTAAGATGTTCATGATGGACAAGTATTATTTGTCACAGGTTTTAGTTTGCTGATAGCATTTTGTTCTTGCTACCCAAGCTGCAAGCTTAGGCATCCTTGATTCCTCCAGCCCCCTCAAAATGAGATGTCTCTGCCTCCTTTAACAGAGGCAAGGGACCATGTCTCTCCTCTCCTGTAASACTCTGTGGTCAAAAGGGAGAAGCCCAGGAGGGGGCCTGCAGTCCCTGCTGGAGCAGGGGTAGGGGGCTGCTTTTGCCTGTGCARGGAATCGCCTTTCCCTCTGTGGGAGCGACACCGTCAGCTCTGTCACCACAAAAGGATTTGAGAGCATCAGCTGCACAGCCACCAATGCCATTTTTGCCTTACAAGTGTCCTTCAAAGTCCTGGGCTGGGCAGGCATCATACTCCGACTGCAGGTGGAATAGGACTGGGCCTCTAGGAGAGTGTTAGTTGCTTGGCTTGTATTCTTAAATAAGAAAGTTGGTGATCTCACAGCTCTCCCCTCAGCTGCTTGTTATGGATGTATGCACACATTCTGCATAGCTGCAGGACGCATTTCTATCTTACTGTGCTTTCTTTGCAGCTAAATTGTGGTTGTGAAAATCTTTGCATTTCAGTTCTTGCATTAGTGTTGCATTACTGCAGTTAGGTGCATTTAATTTTTGTTTATCCATGAAACTTGTTTGCTTTTATTTTTTTTGAGGGAGTAACAGAAATGCTTGTGCAATTAAGAGACATATTTAATTATACCACCTTTAAATCCAGACTGTCCTAGTGCTTCAAAACAAGACATGTTTCACCCATTACTGAGGGGTAATTATTCTTGTAAATACCATAGTTTGGGATTCACAACTGAAATTAACTTTTGCTGATTTAAATTTGCTAGAGGTCTAAGGAGATGAGAATTAGGATTACCAGGTTGATGCAAATTACATCAAAACACAGAGGATAATCTAATGGCAGATCCTCAGATGTAGGACACTTTTTTATGTAGTCCTCAAAGTGTATCAGCTTATATTGGCCTCAGTTCTGCAAGTTTAAAAATAAAAATGGATTGCAATTCACAGTGCTGAGAGCACACTATAATATTATAAAATTGCCATTTTAATTTGAAGTGACGTTGACAGATTTGAAGCTTTCTGCTAGTGATGACAAATTAAGGTCAAGCTTTYTTTAAGGTAAACAATGACAATGAAAAATGGCAATTTCTTTTCCTCAGATCCGTAAAACAGCATTGTAGAGGGAGACGTGGAAGGGTACAAGGACAAGCTCAATGTCCAGCTCCTTTCTATGCCTTTGACAATCTCCCCTGACAATAATTTTGAGTTTTTTGTTTTCTTAAAAAATATGCACAGTCTTAATTAATATAGATTGCTACATACCATGGGAACAAATTAAGCTTTTAATTTATCTTTTTAGTCATCTTATTTTGGTACTTATAACGATCATTGAGGCTTATGCCTCAGTGACATTTAGGATGTGACAAGGAGATTTGAGTGATGTCAAACAGCAGATTGACCCTGATGAAATGTTAAGTAGAGCTTAAATGCATATGCAGAGAAGGTTGAATAAAACAAGAGATGCAAATAATTTAGTAAAACCTCCTTCAGAATAAAGCAGTTGTATTCATTTGTTCTGCCTTAAAATAGTCTGATAAATATGATTTTTACTTTCATTGCTAATTTAGAGCTTTTTATGAGAGGTTATTAAGCATYTGTTTCTTGAATATTTAAGTAAAACTTAAATTTAGTAAAAGTAAAAACTTAAACAATTACAAAATAATTTACCTTAAGTCATCACACCTAAATACCAAGCTACAGAGAAGTCATAATATAAATTCTAAATTTCACTTGTATCACAAGTAACAATTTTTGCAACAACCTGACAGTTCCAACCTTTTTCTTTACGTTTACATCTGAATTGGAGCTGTACAAARCCTGCTTCCAAAGTACTGCAAATGAATTGCAAAGGGAAAGAAAGCAGCTTATTTTAATTTAGCGTTTCCACCCAGTGCAGGAGCCTGGACACCAGCAAGTACTCACCGAGGCTGCAATACAGGCAGTTAGCRTAATTTTGCTGGAATTACGCTGTATTTACAGACTTCGACACTGGTGGGTGCTAACATTTTATTCCCCTGCGCGAGGCGTGCATCCAGTCACTTCTAACAGGGCTGCCGGGGCTCAGCAGCCTCCGCTCCGGCGCCAGCCAAGTCGGGCTTCGGGTTTGTTCYCTTYGGATTTTAAGCAAGGAGAGAGAAAKAGAAGCAAAAACATTTTTTTTACCTTGCGTGCTGTCTGTTGTGGGGCTTGTGTTCGGCTGCGTCTCAGTCGCAGAACACCTGCCGTTTTCTTCTGCTGCTAATTGTGTGACAGGCTCATATCGCAATATGGCATCCAGATCATGGAAAAACTTCATGGTTTTAGTGACATCCCCAGAGTTGTGGGCATATTTAACCGTTCTGTATTCGTACTTCAGGTTTTTGTACTTTGCACGGCACTGTTTCCAGTCCCTGCACACTCCCAACTCCTGTAACCTTTTAGCAATGTAGATAAATATTCCTTTATTCCTCAGGGTGCCGTGCAGTTGCTTTCTGATATTTTTTTCTGACCAGACGCTTAGCAAGGCTTTAACCTCCTCCTCAGTCCAGTGCTTCCCTGCTCCACTCTCCATGTTGAAAGTGACCTGGAAATGATTCACTATTTCTAGCCAAGATTTTGTTTCCTAGGAAACCAGACGGCTGGTTGTCAGTAAGCTCCGCCGAGATGAAAGGATCTAGTTTTACTGGCTCAAGCTGCCTGAGGGGAGTAACTTGAGACGCTGCCAAATAAGCAGGCTCGGCGCTGGAGCCCGGCGAGGGAAGCGGCTCTGCCGGCGGGGAGGGGACAGCGGGCCGGGGCTGCYGAGACCCTGCTTGGGCAGCCAGTGCGGACACCAGCGTGTGAGGAGAGAGGCAAAAAGAGCCTCTTTCGCTCCTTTTAAAAAAATCCCAAACTCATCAAAACAAAGCAATATCACACACACACACGCCCCTTGCGGCCTGGCCTGTGCCGGGAGGGCGCCGCACAGCCCCTGCTCCGGAGGGGACATGGCGCACAAGGGGCGCGTTTGGGATCGTCCTGCCCTACATCTTCACATCTCTGTGCGCTGTTTGCCTTTGAACTGCGGGCCGTATAGACACGTTTTATATGTTAGCGATGTTTTAGTAAAAAGCTGGCACACTTAAAGTCTGGTTCAGCTGTGTAAATTGGTGCGAGCATTGTGGTAATGATAACGAGCTCCCACGGCTTTTGTCAGTGCTAAATGAAAGATGTAACACAGCGCCTTGACCAGGGCCTTCCTTGGGGTGTCTGCTTCCCTCTTCCTATTGATTTTGTTAATATTTAAAGGGACCGTGACAGTATTAAAATGGAAATTGCCTGTAATATTAACATTGCAATTACAAGCTGCTGAATGCAGTGTATCAACCCTTAGGTTTTACTGCCAGTCTTTGTGTTTATAAATGGGATATCTTCCCAAGTTAATGGCTTTAAGAATGTCTTCATCTCTGATATTTTTCTTTGAAGAACTGTGTCACTAACAGGTAAATTTGTTAGATATGTGGGAGGTTTTGTTTGTTTTGCTTTCTGTCAGCAAGTGTTCTTTAAATTTTTTTTCTTTAAACTAGTTCCCCAGGAACAAATAAAGGAATTTTAGGAAGTGGTTAAAATTGTTAATGAGCATGGTCAGTTGTAGATTAGCATCCATTTTGGAGTTTTTATTGTGCCAATTTTATTGTTGCTTATACTAAAYAATTTGTGTGACTTCCAATATGGTAAACCAGTCCAATGCACACATAGGACATTAGTTTTAAGTCTTCATCTTTTTAACAAAAGCATCTTTCCCATTTAGACATTATTATATATGAGAGTGGACAGGAGCTCACCRGTCCACCAAAGTCCTGATGAGTATTACAGGCACAGCAGGCACAGAGCAGCAGTTTTGGTATAGGCAACACTGCCTTATTTCAGGAAGCCCTTTAAAGGGAGATGGAGCAGCCTGCACTGCTACCCACAAAAAAAATCCAGTCTGCAAAGCAAACCATTTCAATGGATAAGGACTGAAATACAAACCATGGGCAGGTGCACAGTGTTCTGCATGCCTTGGGTAGGGCAGCATCAGGGGATCTGGGAAACATCCATGGGACCCAGCATGGAGAAGGCCTGGGGAAGACAAGTAGCAGGACAGGGAAAACTCCTGTATTTCAGTAGAATCAGCATCTTCTGCTCAGCAAAACACAACTGCCAGCCTGAGGTTGATGGGCTCTAAGAGAACTATTTCATTTTGCAGTGACACTTGTACATTTGACTTGTTTTGCCTGAGTTCAGAAGCTGAGATGCCCAACATTAGGTTTGTGCACTCAGATGCTTTTCTGAGAGGGTCTCTGTAGCTTTTAGAGGTGTAAATGCTAGCTTGTCTGCCCAAGTGTAAAAATGCAAAAGCTGCTGCGTCGGTGATCAGTGGAAAAGACAATCCATTCCCCTAGGCAAAACCAGCTTTTAATAACATCTCCCAATCCAAGGCAGAAATAGAATAGTACTATAGAGCTGGCTACTATTGCCTAGACCATTATGCCTCTAAAAATGGCTTTTCCCATTAAGCACCTGTTTTTATGTTATACCCATACYGAAATTAGAGTCCAATAAGAGCCTGAGCCAGTGCTTATTAGTGGGAAGATTCCCACTGACTTCAGTGGGCTTAGGCACAAACCTTATGTGACCGTTTTGAAATAAAACATAACACAGGCAGGAAACAGTAGCAATTACAGATCTGTAAAATAAAACAACAAATAAGCCTACATTAAAATTTCATTTAAAAAACACCTATCCATTGTATGTTAAAGTGTTTCATGTTCATTTCAGTGCTTTATGATAATTTTATTTTGTCCATAGGGGCCAGGAGAGTGCTGGAATTGTGACAAGTGATGGAGAATCATCCCAGGCATTTAAAGTGCACAAGGTAAAATGCAAATGAATGTTKTGTATTTATGAGTGAGATGTATGTAAGTTTCTTTCTGCTAAGAAACAGTATAATTAGAGAAAAAGTAACATGTTTTGATGGGCTGTTTTGATTTTTTCAGTGAGAGTGTCTAATTTTGTTATCTGTCTTGAGTGTATGCTTAAAACAAGCATGTCAGCATTGTCCTGCTAGGACAGTATATGTGTCTGTGCATATAGTGGCAGACACACTGAAGTTACCCAGAGTATGCTAATGATGTCACAAAAACCTCTTGGAAAAATCACCCTGCACCTCAGGTGTYAATTCTGCAGATTTGGAAGAGCATTGATGCAAATTGATCTCAAAGGAAAGAAATAAGGTTACAGATTATGCACAAGGAAATTGGTGACTAAATCTTACGTTAGCGAGACTCAAGGAAGTGGAAACTACTTTACCCAAAGGTAACAATAAACAGAATCTGAGACTGAATGGAGGCCTGAGAASGTCACATAAACTTTCTCAAGCCGAGAGAATCACAGGGGATGTTACGAGACACATAATGACCACAGCCTTACAAGTATTATGCCAAGAGACCACTTGCCTGCTCTGGGGATATTTCTGTTTAATCTGAACAGTGATCAGGAAAAAAATAATCACCAGCCTGTTCCATCCTGGAGAGAGGATTTGAAAGAAAACATACACCAGCAAAAAACCCATGGGGCAACTCTCAATGTATGTTGTCTGACCACAATCAGAAAGCAGTTTGTCTTTCCATTTACAGGTCTCAGAGGAAGTTTAATTAAGCTGTTCAAATCAGTCCAAGAGTATGAAGTACCCTACTGCAGCAGCATGCATCTCTATGCATGACTGCTCAACACCTCATGCAAAATCTTTTCTCTCAAGCAGCATGTTTGTTGACTCTTCAGGCACTTTTCCCCCTCCTTACTGTTACTTACCGCCAGATTCACACACACACAAACACATGCTGTTAAATGGCACCTTCTCTCAACTTTAGCACCATGTTATCTGTTTTTCATTCCTGCTCCTGCTTGGGTTTCAGCTTTCCTTAATGTTTATAGAAATTCCAGCTTCCTGTAAACTGGGCTGTTTTATAAGTCCCATAGAAAGAACTGCTTCTCAGAATGAACTTCCAGTAGGTGATACAGTATATTGGAAATTACTGTTACTGAGCTACAATATTTAGCTCTCATGCTAAGAATTTGACCATCTCATCTTACCAACTTTGATATTTAAAGAGTTACAGAGCATGTAATGGGTTAAAATCCTTGAAATACATTTCTCAACTACAGCATTTTTAAAAATTGTAATAACCACAGTGTAATAAACAGCTTGTGGAATAAATTTATCTGACCTGATTGATTCCAGAATTGGTGCTATTATCACAAATATTTGTGTCTGTGTCACTGGTGAAAGCATATTTAGGACTCCAAGTTGTTAACTAGTCCATAAAAATGCCAGCAGTTCAGGTGCTACTCTACCTATTTGTTCTCCTTTCTGTCCCATCTCACTTTGTATCTGCAGCACAGGTTATGAGCTACTGAGAGCTTCAGACCTCTCCTGTGTATCTTTAAAGGTCCTAGGAGTGTTATCYATCATGTATTCCACAATTGCCACATGTCATAGGCAAACCAGGCATAGAAGGATGTAAATATTTTCCACAGGCATTGGCAGAAGCAGGAGTTTATAGGACAACCTGGAATCCAATCTTAATTTCTACTCTCTGTGCAGGCTGTTTTTGACTCTTCTTGTGGCTGAATTGTCTCCACATAGTGCTTGTTGCAAAAAAAAAGCTCCTGTCCTGATAGCCAACTAAAAAGTTTTGATGCACTTCTGCTTTAAATAGAAGACAGGTTGGCTATATAAAAAGTTCAGCTAAATAAACCTCTTGAAAAAAAATTTACTTCAGACACTGGTAAGAATGACAGTGGAATCTTATAAACATTATCATGAATCCACTTTGAAAGTGGAATCCAACATACCACTAACTTGTAAAAGGTATTTTCTACCTTGAACTTCCTTCTTGCAAGTTTTTTTCTTCTTTGCCTGTCTTCTGGCAATTTTTTTTTCATGTGTTTTTAAACAACACAACAGTTTGGTAGTGCTTTTCAGAAGATGTATTTTTAGTCAGGGAATAGATTGTTCCATGAAAATCCTCATCACAAAAATATGTATTGTTTTCTTTCAAAATAGGATTAATGGGACCTGATATACCACTGTGACACCTACTCAGCTTCTTTCTTTCCCATGTTTTTCAGGTTATTTGCCTTTCTCTTAAATTTCCATTAAAACTGTATCAAAACTAAACAGAAGAAGAACTTAGAAAGTTACTAGGAAAATAAAACCAAATAGAATCTTTTTTCTTTTTCTCCCAAAGGGAATGGGTCTTATAAATCATGTCTTCAATGCAGACAGCCTAAAGAAGCTGTACCCTTCAAACCTTGGTATAGGGCACACGAGGTACTCCACCTCAGGAATTTCTGAGCTGCAGAACTGCCAGCCTTTTGTTGTAGAGACTCTTCATGGAAAGATTGCTGTGGCACACAATGGAGAGCTAACAAATGCTGCACAACTCAGGAGGAAGGTTAGTACCTCTCTGGCATTGTTTCTTTCTGAGTGGGAGGCAGAAATGAGCAATAAGGTTGCTGTAACTTTCCTTAATAGCAACTTGTCTGGGGTAATGAAAGCGCATCCTAATCAAAATAGGTTGTTTTTTGGGGAAAAAATCCTGTGGAGGGGATTCTGCCTT